AATATACACCCATTTAAATCAGTTGTATTTATACTGCAAGAGCAGGTAAGTATTGGTTGTGCCACATAGCATACATTTGTAGATGTCAATCAGCAGCTACCCTGATAGCAAAATGTCAGCAATATGCCGACAAATTGCTGGCAAAATCAATCATAAGATTGCAGCAAATTTGCAGCATGTATACTACCATTATGCTGGCATTATGTCGGTAAAGCATGCCAAAATTATTTGCGGGCAGAGTGCTGCAAAAACCGAACAAGATGTGTCGAGCAACGTGTGACGACAAATTTGCAGCAAACAGCGAGCAAGACGTGCCGAGCAAGGCGTGATGGCAAATTTACGGCAAAAATCGAACAAGATGTGCCGGCTATGAACAGGCCAAAACTACCCGAGTAGAATTTGCACCTTATGAGAATCTAGTCATTATATAATAAAGTTGTATCCAATAGACACATACACATAGTTAGCTAGTGTAACTAGACAGTGATGAACCAATAATGTAACGCTTTTGCGAATAGCTATATGCAATATATTAACTAATAATAAGATCAAAGAAACAACATAATTATAGTAAAAAACCAAACTAGTTGCTAGGCAATATCACTTTTCCTAATGAGGACATAAGTTACCTAATAGTTAGACAAAAAATATAACTAGTGATGTAGTTTATTTTCTGCATATCTCATCATCAGTAGATAGACTATCCTAGTTAAAATTTTTAGTTCTATGAAATGCTATTTGTGTCTTTTAGAGATGACACCAGTGGCTTTTATTATTGAACTCTTCCTAATCATGTAGAACGTAAGTATCTCAGTGTATATTCTCTTGGAAAAAATTCCTTGCTCACATTGGATTTGAACTCGAGATCTTTGGTTCTTCAAGTCTGTCGTCCTATATGTTACTCCACTTCAACTTCACTAACAAACGTGTTTCGTATGGCCCTCATATGTTGCATGAGATTTGGCACGACTTGCTCGGCTTTTGTGGTCAGTTTGCCGTCATATGTTGCTCGGCACGTCTTGTTCGATTTTTGCCGCAAATTTACCGTCACGCATTGCTCGGCACATCTTGTTCGCTATTTGCTGCAAATTTGTTATCACATATTGCTCGGCACGATTTGCTCAGTTTATGCTATCAATATGCCGTCATACTACTAATGATAGCTTGTCCGGTTTTTGTCAGCAGTTTGCTATCACACTTGCTAACAGGTCGTGTCGCAATATTGCACACATTTTGTCGACATTACTTGATATAACAAATCGTGCTGCAATTTTGTCGTTATTCTGTTGATAAAACTTGCAGCACGCTTTGCCG